ATAATCGTAGACGTGTACCAAATTTCCTCGTAGCTAGCTCCCAAACTACGAGTAATTGAGGGAGCTTGCATAGCCATAGGATCGCAGTGCTGTTAAAACTCCCCTCAATATGCCTAACTATCTTTGCTTAAATCCGGCTTGCTTTATTTGCTCGATAATAAGCGAAGTATCTTAGCGGGATAGTCAGCCAGTTTACTGGCAGAAATAGTTTGAGTCTCCGGCTTTTGTGAACCCAAATCTACTAACTTGGCCCCATCCCGCTTAGCTTTTTTCTGAATTAAAGGCTCGCCAATCGCTATTGGAAACATTGGCTAATGGGTAGCATGAAAAACCAGATCCCATTTTGGGGCCATTGTTTTGCATCTTTACCTTATCATATTCTCTTGATTGACTCGGAACCTTGCCATGTGTCAGTGCCACTGCCACATCGAAAATCTGGACATCCAGAACATATTGATCACCAAATCTTCTTATCTTGGCCATTACTACAAAACTTATTTTTACCTGCCACCCATGCCCACTATGAGCTGATGAGACGCTTTCGCAGTGGTATGTGCACAACCAAATCCAACATTTAAAGGCACCTCACTTTTCTTAACTTTTAATATTATTCATCCATTATGCGTGGCGCAGTGAAACAGTTAGAACCAGCAAAATCATAAGTACTCTTGCGCACGACACATTCGAGCTTAAGTTAGCCGAACTTCCACTGCTATATAATGACCCACCTACAGCAGACCTATAAAACAGTAAAAGAGAGCCTCAAAAACACTAAGGGTAAAGCGGACCGAAGGCTTTTGTTATCTGGAACTTCAAAACAGTGTTAGCTTTCGCAGTTTCCACCACATGAATTGCAGGCAGATTAGCTCATATTGGCCAAATGAATAATGAGCTGGCTTGCTGTCACCATGTGGTAAAGGCTCATGTAGCCCTGCACTATACGCTCGACCACATGAAGGAATACCAAACGTAGATTTTTCCTTCACTGCATTGTGCTGATTCTCATTATCCTCAAAATAATGCTCGAGTGGTTCATCTTAACATGAAATAATTGAGGCGAGTTCAAAAGTACAGAGTTTTCGTTAGGTCCCGCGTGGATCGTTTAGCATGATCGTGAAATTACACGCGTTAAGTTTCACTTTCAATTACTTGCGCACGTAAAACCAGATTTTTTAGTCTATCAGGTCGCACGTCGCAAACATCGATACTTTTGTGCTGTGCCGAGGCTTATTAGATGCGTCTTGTTACCTAGAATCTATCTATCTGTTATGCATGCTTTTCTTTCTTCTTTTCGGGCTTTGCTTAGAAAGTAAAACTGCTATGTTAGCAAAAATTAACGTAGAGCATTATCCACAGTTTTTCGTAACTTGCAAACTGTTGGGGATATTACATTTATTTCGCCATTGTAAGGTAGAGCATCGACTGTTTGGTGCGTTTGGCAACTTTGTTTTTAATTTTTCTCCATTTTTCGCCTTACAAAGCTCTTTAGGCTGGTAGTCCAATTCGTTCGGTCGCCATCCAAGCTCACGCACTGATTTAATGTATGAATGGCATACTGCGTATCTTGTGCACGATTAAAGAATTGCGTTATCTAGTTGCAGTATATTACTCTTAACCTATACAGTTTGATATCGAGTCTTACGAGTTTCCGCCTAATTCTACTGCATCCATTTTCTTTATTTCCCCCATTTAACCTAATTCTCCTGCTCTGTTTACACATTTATCGGGAGGTTGGTTTGGCTGCTTTGGCCATCTGAAGAAATAAAATGAAAACGCGCTACTCTAAGCTGGATCGTGTTTGGAGAACGCAAACTTGCACAGGAGAGGAACTGCAACCTAACACCTAAATTGCGGACGCTGTCATCTGCTCGTTTGGAATCCCACAGTTAAAAAACACTTGACGAATATACCTCAGACTTCATGCATGAGCATGACATTTCAATACATTTTGATCTGGCCCTCTCGGGTTCAGTTTCTCGCGGAGGAGAATATTCACTTCCTCTTCATATCTCATCGGAGACCAAGTACCAACAGATCATGGCTTGCTGGTCGCGATTCCTGTGCGCTTATTTAGGAGGAAGCAATTCCTATGTTCAGATGGTGGTAACGTTTATGCTTGTCGTTTTAATGTATTTGGAATATTTAAGCGGTTGTATTAGTTATTTGGTACTCTCTGAGACATAGTAGGTTAAAACATTTGGTAGCACTCCTGAATACGCTCCTTAATCCTTGCTACTAACTACCCCAGCTAACCATTTTATTACCTATTTAAAAATAATTTTACAAATCAGGTTTCCAGCATGCGTCGAAATCTCTTATATTTAATTGTTTTAAGCCAAACGGTAAGTGGGTCTTGCTTGGATGGTTTTGTAGGACCTAAAATCTACACAGTTCGAACGAAGTAATCATTTAGATTTGGTATTATCTCGAATAAAACGACCATATTTTAGCCAACCAACAAAGATAGCACATCAATCAGGCTGTTGATAGGTAACTGGCAAGAATCAACCTATCGAGTTCATCCACCTACATCGGTATTCGAATTTAGTACACTTAACCTAATATATAAATTATTGAATGCTTGGGGTTTAGGCTTCAAGAGGACACAGCTGTCTTTTAGTTGGTGTGGGGATCCAAAATAAGACGGAGTCTTTTTGCACGGCTTTTAAACAGTAAATACGATGATTCAGGTATATAAACATCAATACGACAGAGAAGGATATTAGGGTTTGTCTAGCTGACATTAAGAAGAGGACAGAATCCTTTAAGTATCACTGTGGGCGATCGGAACACAACGGGAAAGAAGTGTATCATGCAACATAACAACACATCTGCGTTCTGGTCCTTGGTTCGACAACTGTTTTCGCTTATATGCCACGCGACATCGTAGTCTGACTAATCAATGTCTTAAATTAACTATGTTTCCTTGGTTGGTGCTACATATGTTTCGGGAAGGAAATGTTGGTAATTGAGGTAATTTTGTTTTAGTGGAATGGAAATTGAACACTTATTATCTTGAAACTTCCACTGTCCGCTGAACCTTTGGGAGATCTGTACTTTGTGTGTAAACTAGTAGCAGTGGTGAGGCATTGTGTTTTATATGCCCTTAACTGCAGAAACTTTTGCTTACAGGTAAATGCAAAATTCTCTTGCGGAGATATCCATTGAGCAGAATACCTTTTACTGCCTCTACTTCCGACTAGGGATTATAGGTTTGCGCCCGACATGTGGATTTTTAAGACAGTGCATATTTATGTTTGACTGTGCATGATCTATAATCAATAAGTTCAGATGCGGCTAGTGGGGCGGACAACATTTGCACAGGTTTCATTACAAGTGGGCCACGACAATTAAGTACACGGATCTTTCAAACTTTTCATAGCTTGAATATCCGACAGACTTATGTTATTCGTTCTTTCATGTTTGCTGGAACACGCACAGAACATGAGTAAATGTGTTAGATATAGATATTCGTTTTGCAAATTTGTCACTGCATTCTTTTTGTCTTGAAGTATGCTAAGCACTTAACAGGTATCCACAAACCATTGGTCTTTGAAAATGACCAGTTAATTAAAAGTTCTTGGTCAAGATAAGTTCCACATGAAAACAACGGTTAACCGAATAGATCTATAGCTGGCCAATGTTATTTAAATTATGCGTAAGCATCCGCTTACACGAGCTTTTAATTTGCTTAATAAGAGCCAAGATTCATCAAGTAGCCTTATCTTGATTCAAAACAAAGTGTAGGCATGGATCAACAATATTTGCTATTAAAGGGTAGGTTAATTACACCGTTCGAAATGCTGATGACTCCTCAGTCAAGAAGGATACCCACCAGTATTTTTCCATTACTCTTTCTCAAGTTTTATATCTCTGTGTGTTGGTTTTTCTTGTTAAAACCCCTTATGTGCAGAAAGCTGTATGTGCTTAGCTGCGCTGAGTCTATGGTTTTGTAAGCAAACAGCTTGGGGACCGATTGATTCGTTTTTTTTTCACTAGTCAACAATCACCTCCGTTAGCCCAGTGGACTGACGAACACTGCATATCTTATTACTAGCATGAATTGTTTAGCGCGTATGATCTGTTCTCTTGTGGCTACCGGAACCAATAAGCTTGTCCAATGTTCATGAATAATTTGCACTTCGTTCACGTTATATTATGCCAATTATGCTTCTATATTCCTGCTCGCGTTACTGTGTTCAGTTCGCATGGCGACGACTGCCATAACATCTGCAAAGCCATATTAGTAGAGTACACAAAAACGACTAACTAGTAACACTCGCTCTATTAGACAGTAGTAGTTTGTTGGATTCAATGAAATGAAGTTATCCCTAATTTACTGACAAGAGTTAAAGTGAAGACAACCGTTAACGATTTATCCTCAGCTACGGAAATGAGCGGCTTTTCAGTTCACTGAAGCATTAGTGTTGTTCTGGTAGAAAAAGTTTCCAGAACTAAAAGGAATTTTATTTGTTATATAAAAATAATCACTCTCCATGTTTTGGACTACAGTCTACCCACATTTTGTCCACATTAACCAAGTGGTGGCATCTTAAATTTTTGAGATTTGTGCAACAATTGCCTTACAGATTAAAGCGCTTAAGAATAGGTCGTTAATTTTATGTGGAGTTATCGGCACACATCATTATTTGCCTATTTAACATATTCAAACTCCATGCGCAGCACTTTAGAAGCTATAACTCTTTCAATTATGCCACACTGCGCATGTTAGCCCTGACACGCTGCATGAATATGCTGTTTGTTATCAGCACCATTTTGACGTCTACCAAACACAATAGGAAGTAACACAATAAAATATCGCAATGGGAATCAATTGAATAAAAGGTATATTTCATATTTCTTTTAAACCTTTCTATTATCTGGTTTAGCTTAATGGCGGTATGATTTTATCAGATATTCAAGTAACAGTCACTGGTGGTTTACAAATCTACACGGCTCATTGTTTAAACAATATAGTTAAAGAAACAAAAGTGAGCTTGTTTTTAAAAAGTTAACCGATTTATATTATGGAACGCTTTTGTGCCTTCTACAAGCGAGTTTGTGCAAATACGTACAACCGCATAGAAATCGCTCAGCTATCTGGATGATCATAATGTTTCAGCTTTAAATCTTGATCCGTTTCGTATGTCCAGGGGATTTATGAAGAGAAAATCCAGTCCGATTCCAACCACTCCGACTGCAATCCATAAAGCTGAGAATAGCCATGCTCCAAGAGGCGGATTGCTTGAAAAGTAGCACCCGCATGCGATAGCATAGAAAAGCACTATTGTATAAAAAGGAAAGAAAAGCACTGTATGAAAGGGGATGTTTTATTTAGCAAGATGCTTGACGTCTTTGACGGAAAACGTGTTCTGTTGGGTCGACATGATGAAAAGTATATTTAGTAATTACTTGTGCTACATTACAGCGTTCTGTCGGTGCAATGTTACATATAGACACTGGATTAGCATACCTTAATCTTATTATCCCAAAGTCGCTAGTAATGTACAACAACAGCGCCCAACGTCTTATGTTTCTAGGTAACTGCCTTTAATTTCAAACAAGAACCAATTCCTAGCCCAAGCAAGGCCAAGCCATTGTGTCCAGTTATATTTTGTGTGTCCCGTTTACAATTAACCTTGAAGTTGCATCAGGTGCAACGTCAGAGCTAGTATTCTGCCCAAGTTTGTTAGCTTGTGTTCTCTGCTGATCAAGCAAAAGAGAAAGTTCTAACCACAATTAAAATTCGTAAAGCTAATATATGTGGAAAAACGTCGTTTCTAATATCAGTTAAAGCCAAATTTGGTACGTCTTGAAAAACAGTGCAAATTCACCATATGATGACTTTTGCTAGAACGCGCATAATTTGGCAAGTGTACTTATGTAACGCAGGTGTTTAACGCAGGTCATACAGGGCAACATACAACCTTAAAGTTTTGCGCAAGTCGTAGCTTGTTTTTCAGCAACAAACATTTACCCCCAAACTCTCATCGATATTGCTTACGGTTATAAGGAGTGAAATTTACCAACAAGTTGCACAATTCACCACGACGCCGATGGAGCATATGGACTAAACCCCACGCGTAACCATCCGATTGTAACACGTTTTCAGCATCTCAGCTACTGCTACACACAGTATTAGCGATGCGTACATAAACAGCAAGTACGAGTCATCTGTGACTTAGACGAGAAGTCCTAGTGGAACCCCAACCAACTTGATATGAGTTAACTTCTTTGTGTTCTATTACACCACACTGTGTCTCAACTGCGGCTGCAGATGACGCAGGTTTGTGTTACCGTATCATACCGAGTATTAGCCCTACCATGGATAGGCCAACAGTAGAAATGTCCACTACCACATTTGTCCAACGTAATAAGTCCTAGATCAGCACAAACCCCCTTGCAAAATTCACAAAATAGGAAGCGAAATCGATTCTCCACGGTTTTGACGCCACCAATATATGTTCTCAGCTTTAGGGCTTTCTAGCGAAACTGTGCTATTATTGGTCCGTTGTGGTGGCCGTAATATACAAAGGCTAAAGCTTCACAGCCTAAACGAGTTCTAACGTGACGTCACATAATCTACGGTACCGTCCGTCAATTGAGGGTGTTTCTAAGAGCAACTAGGGACAGATATGTGCTGTGAATTCTTGGGTACCTTTACATGTGACTTGTTTTCAAATTGCGTATAGCCTTTATAAAAAGTGACCGCCTACTGCAGATATGAAAAGGTCTCCAAAGGATATCGGTTTATATTCGATAATATACAGATATTTCACGTTTAGGTTTATGGAATTCAACTTATCAGCTGCTTTGTTCTAATTTCATCGATGCCTGATATTGAGCTTAGTTGCCTTTTGTCATTCTACCTAAAACGTTATCTTAAATTAGAATACAAACTTAACTAGGTCACTTACTTTTACATCTGAGTATGTACCTATACCCAGATGTTCATAATATCTAGACTCAAACAGACAGCTGCAACATGTTCGGAAAAGCATCGTAGGGTTGTTTCATCCCTTCGACAGTCGTTAGCGTAGAGCATTCCATCTGACTAATTGGGGCTATAGCATGTGACATAACTGTTACTGGTCGGTGGTGAAGAACATTTAGCTACGGTAAACGGTAACAAAGAGTCTAGATGTAAAAATAATCTATCTGTGCCATTAAACCATCCATCAATACTTTGCAAATGAAACATGTGGTTGGTGCAACAAAATGTGAACATCGGTGCGGTGACTTACATCCTATGCAACCAAGTAGAAATACGGTGATTATTAGCCGTCGATTTCCATCTTTCTTCAGGATAATCACGCATAGGTAGATAATAAAAGCAGTGGCAAGGGATATCACACCAAGGATGTTTGTTGCACTGTAACACTGTTCCCGTGCGGTCGGAGAAGGAGCTGTAATAAAAAATAACATATCTTTCGTGTAACCGACTGTAGTGGAAATCCCGCTCGTTGGTGAATGTGTTATGTGCTTAGTACGGTGATAAACTTGTGAACATTTTACTTATATTGGTAACGATATATTCAGCCAATAGTACTTATGGTAAAACATCGAAATCGGAAATACCTCACCATTAACTGCAATGAGCTTAACATTTGAAACCAGATTGTATCTTTCTATTTTTCCATCGGATGTATCATATGCTAGAAATGAAGACACGCCATGTTATTCGAATGATCTTCAATATTAATTGTGTTTTGCTGTTTTTATGCTGGGCGTTTTAAATTCCGACGTTCCGTTGCTGATCTGTGTATACATGATCGTATCTATAAAGGCCTAATTCGCAGAACCTGGTAGGCTATGTCAGCTCCGATTGATACATGATCATTTTCTTCATTGATGACCAGAAATCGATAAGTGCACGAGGGTTGGCAGGATAATCACCTTCTTTGCCTTGGTAACCTACGGTAGATTAGTGGCTTAATCCGCAGTGACTCATGAATGCGCTGTAGCTGTAATTGTCCGTTGATTGTGTTCTGATCCCAGTGTCAGGCCTCGATGAATTCGGCTGCTCTGTGAATTCTTGCTCCCACAATCATCCCGACGTTTTCTAGATCAGACAACTGACTTCCCATGTGTATGCACTGTCACCAGCGATTTCTCAGCTCGCCAGTGTTTGGCCGGACTGTTCTTGTGCAAACATGTATCAAATTTACTTGAACTTGCACTGACAATGTCGCCCAAATGCAGTAAAACCTCTCTAACAGAAATGTCTAGCTTGTAGAAAGGCTAAGTATTGTCGCGTGCACCTGATCTACCGTTCTTCATCACTAACTAATCCACAATATGTACATTCCAGAGGAATCACCTTGCAAGCTTCGTTCAACATAGCAAACCTCGACTACTAGTTAAAATGAAGCAATGCTTGAAACCTTCGTTCTCAATGACGAAACTTCTAGCTATACGAAATAGTTACCACCAAATCATTCGAAACCAGTAACTTTAATAAAAAAGGTCAAGTCCGAAGTTACAATGCCTGTTAACCTTGGCGTATTATGTGCTTTCCATGAATAGGACAGATATTTAACGCTAATAACTGTTCGTCTTCTTAAGTCTTTGTCTGAGCAACAAATGGTTCTCATCACTAAAATGTGTTTTATTAGTCTAATACGCGAGACATATGGCCATATCCCAGTATAGGTTAGTTTTACTGATTGTTGCCATAATGGCCGGGCAGTGGGTTACATGATATTTATCGAAGAAATATTCTGTTTGGCCGGTGGCCGAGTGGTATGCGCGTCTGGTTTACAACCATAAGGCCACCGGTTCGAATTTGTGTAGGGGTGGCCGTCCTCGCTTTATACTCAGCCCAAGCGCGACTGATGCTCGTCGCTTGGCAGCGAAGCGCTATTACGGCGTGCATCTAGCGATTTATTTATAACACGAATAGGATTTACCAAAACAGCCATCGTATGCTTTGGGCGCTCAGGCGCAACTTCAGCGCTTGGTCCGAAGAGATTGCCACTCGCCTCATCGTCTCAATAATACTACCACTGTTAGAGTATGGCTCTCCGGCGTATTGTCCTATCACCCGCGGCGAGGTAGAAAAACTTGAGCGAGTGCAGCATGTATCCACCACGCTGATTCCCAACTTACGAGGTGTGCCGTACGAAGACCGGTGTAAGAAACTAGGGTTGTACACCCTAGCTTATCGTCCGATGAGGGTTGACCTCATCATGACTCACCGGATATTACATCTGGGTGATTATCCTGTGTTAAGACCACTGCTTCATCTGCGCAAACCAAGCAGCATAGGAGGACACCGGGATAAGCTTGTCGTACCGGAGTTGAAGCGAGTCGCTCACCAACTATGTTTCGAACACAGAGTGGTGAAGGAATGTAAGACTTGCCGCAGCACGTAGTAGAGGCAAACTCAGTGTCGGAATTTAAGAATTTCCTTGACAAACACTTTGCCGTCGCCAATATATGGGGCGGCACAAAACCTAAGTGGTAGCTGTCCAAGAGTGACGACTGAAGCAGCTACACAGAGCAAACTCTACTCACTGCTTCTAACCGTAATCAGTAATCAATCATAATTGTGTGAGCTGATGATTGAAAATTACGCTGACTTAGTTGGGCTAACTAATGATTAATCAAGCAGCTTTCTCATCGGGTACATCCAAGACTCTCCATACAATAACAAAACTGAAGTTCTACTTTTCGCGAAAATATTTGTTTGCATCACCGACCCTCCGGTTAAGTACCAAGTGATCGGAAGGGAATACAATGTGTCAAAGTGTTACGAAACCTCTAGATATGCTAATTGTCGCTGTTTAAATTTGTTTTGACTATTTGCTCAGAAGGCCGGTCTCAACAAGTTTCCTCGCCAACGTGAAGTGTCAACATTCCAGACCCTATCTTCACTTTGGATATTCTCAGTGGGAATGTCAAAATTTCGGGCAAAATTCTGGGTAGGAAACATAAACTAGTGCCAGTTAATTTCACTCTACTCGCAAAAGCATTAATGGCTGAATAAAATGATGTATTGTACCGCATGGTATACGTTCAATAATATGATCCTTTTTAGGGGATAGATATAGCCTCAAATGTCACCCACGCGTTACAGTTGGCTTCCATTATCCTAAGATCTACCTGTGTGTAAATACTGTCACTTTGGCTATACTTAAGAATGACCCTTACGCCAACGCTATGGCCCCGAAGCTTGCTACAGATAAATTCAGAAAACTGTTCAAAGATTACACGAAAGCCAATGGCTTCATGTTATTTGGCCGCAAATTGTGAACCCTGAGATATGGTTGTTAGACGCAAATCTGGTCTGCTACAGGCCACGCTAAAAACTGTCGAAGGCATTTCGCCATCTATAACACGAGTTACTGGGTAGCCGAAGGCAGCTGAAAAAATCACTTTATCTTTAAGGGCATGGATTGTTATGTGACAGTTTTGAGCGGGGTGAACATTGGTCGGGTTTGCAAACAGCCAGATGAAGGAGACCATGAGTACGTGTGGAGGGTAACAGACGAGTGGTGGTCCATCACCCAAGCAACTTACAGATGGATTGGAATGCATAGGCGAGAATGTTTTAATTACAAATATGCCCATTTACAGTATTTACTATACTAAGGTCTGGCAAGTCTTGTCTTCCATTTCCAATGGCCGGTTTGAACGGAGTGTTAGGTAAGGAACAGAGCTAGGGCAGCTTTGTAACATTTAACTATACTTTAAATGGTCTATAATATGCTACCAGGACATAGTCTGCTGTACGTGAGCGAAGCGCTGTGAAAAGCCTAAATATCTGATGGACTTAATTGAAAGCAAAGAGTTTAGAAAACACAAAGACTAGAGAACGATGCTAAAAGGTGGGCATTACGTCCATTTTAGTTTCAGCGTACACCCCAGGGAGGATCCCATACTCATTAGTAATTATTTCAAGGAACACATTTGTACTTCCTTTGACAGCATTACCAATTACCAGCAAGCTGTGCCGTCAAAAGAGTTTATAGCAGGTGCATTGTAGAGAGTCTACTATCCCATAAGAGAAGTAAGGAAAGCATTCAATTGTATGAAACCGTCGTCCTATGGTAGTCTTAATGGTAAGCCGCTAGCCGTAGTGAAACACGACGGTCCGGATATCCCTAGTTTCTTGAAAAACATTCAATTTGCCAACCAGAACTAGCACTGTTTGTTCATTGGAAACGCATTATTATTGTACAAATCTACAAAAATGCCTTGAAACATAGTGCAAATTACCGCCCGATTAACCAGACTTTCTTACGGGTTAAAGCCATGGCGTTTACTAGAAAGCAACGACTTCCCTGCTTCTGTTATCAAGAGAGCTAAGCAGCCAAAGGTAACGTTGCTTTATACAAAGCTTTCGTATCCGTCTTTCTAACAATACCTTTTAAACTACATCATCGATCCAGCCGATGGAAGTGAAGCTTATAGTATTATAGTCTTTGGAATGAAAATGGCCTTTGAACAATTGCCACATAGTAGGCTTTTGACGATCCTAGCAGGGTACGGCATTGCTGACACTCTAGGTTTCGGATTCATTTTGTATTTTACTGACAGAGAACCTAAGCAGTCAAAATAAAATGTAGAGCATCCTGTCGAGGTCCCGTAACAAGTGATGTCATTCATAGCAGTGTTCTGTAACCAATTCTATTCCTCATGTACATAAATGCCACCGTTAACAATATTTTTTACGGCAGACTCAACAAATTCGTAAATGATATAAAAGATCTGTAAATATTTGCTCCCCCAATAACAGGAGTATGTGATTCGAAACATACACACCGACATGAGTGCTCTGTAACGTGGTCTTACATCTCAAAATTGAGTTGATCCACTGAGAAGAGTAATACTAGCTCATAAAAATTTGATGCAAATGTCCAACTGTTAGCATAATTTGTTTAACCTTTGGCTTGCGGCAACCAAGTGAGTCTCCGGAATGTTATAAATGATCCGTCTGTATGCAATATATTACCTCCAATGAGAAGGACAGAATTGCCATTTTTCTTAGCCTCTACACTAAAGAGTGCTAAATTTATCCTGTTCAATACTTACGAGCTCATTGGATTATAGTATTACCCTATTGTATTTGGTAATGAATGGTAGGTTAACAGTGACCCACTAATACGCATTCAGAGTTCTGTCGTAAGATATATAATGGTATCTAGTCAGAAACTGATGCCATATGCAATTTGATAAGGTAAACTTAGGCTAGACAATTTGCTATTTTTAGACGTAATTTATCTGCTCATTCATATACCAAAGTAATCTGTCAACTACAAGACACAAACACAACCCGATCCTATTCGTAATGTGGCTTTCACACCGCTAATTTCAACATCCTGCACTAAATTACAAGCAAAGAATTTCCTCATTACATACGCACTGATTTTGAACCTTATCCAGCTGAATAAAGCACGTCTCA